GTAGTCGCCTCAAAAATAAATCAATCCACACACACCCACACAGCCTTGTAGCTGTTTCCCGCCATTTTCTCAACGACGCTGACATTGCAATGGGAGGCGGTGGTGGCCGAGGGAGCCAACTCTGAGGAAAAAATTAAAAATTTCCCAACCCCACCCCACCTCACAAAGGTTTCTCTCCCCGCTCTCCCTCGCCATGGAGCCCCGGCGAGAAGGGAGCAAACTCCGCCTCAAACGCAAGAAGCAAGCCGAGGACAGCGAGCAGGGAGAAGCCGCTCCCGACGGGAACCACCCGCCTCTGTGAGTGCGGGACGCCGGCGCGGGGGAATTTATACCTTCGGGTGCCTCGCGGGCCCCCCCCACCCCTCTCCTGAGGGGGCGGGTCCTGGGGTGGGCGGGGCGAGGAGCGGGGTGGGAGGGTCGTCTGTTGGAAGGGAACTCTTCCCATAAAATGGAGGCGAGGGGGTGGGAATTTCTATATTATTCATTCATTCATTTTTGCAAGCACCTGATTAGTGAATGCATACTAGCTATTTATTTATTTAACTCATATGCCACCCACGTTACCCAAAGGTCTCTGGGGGGAAATGTTTAATTGTTTACAACAATTTAAATTTATTTAATCTGTATGTCTCCAATAGTACAAAGTGCATTTTCTGGGCGGTGGACAGCCAAGTCATATAAATATTTTCAGGCCCTCAATGATGTCACCACTTCCCCCCCACCGCCCCTTTTAGGAGGTTGCTATTGTATGTGAACAGTAGGAAACTCCCCACCCACCGAAGCCCCTCCGTGGATGCTGAGAACCGTGGATTATAGCAAACGCATGATCTCTGGCTCCCTTTAGAGGCCAGTTCTGGTGACTTCATCTTTAGAAATATGTATTTCTAGGATTTTTCTTTTTAATGTTTTTTAGACCGTGGATAAGTGAACCCGCGGATACTGGGCCCACAGAGAAGGGGGGATTCCTACTGTATTTACATATTTATGCATTGTGGAGGATACTGTGCCCACAGAGAAGGGGGGGGGTTTCCTACTGTATTTACATATTTATGCATTGAGTTACCAGTCAAGTAGCTTGCAGTTAAACTGCACAAATACAGTCTGTGTTGTGCAGGTGACATCAAGGCCTTTTCCAGCCCTCCTGAATTTCTGACCTCAAGATGGTCACGAAGTGAAGAGTGACCCAGTCCAGAGGGGAAGACTATTCTTGACGTTTTTCTGTTTCACAGAACGTGCCGAAGCAGCCCCGCCTGGTTTCGAAAGCAAGATTTAAGCAGTGCTGAAAGGACGTGGAAGACGTTACTGATGGCTGTGGACCCAGAACTGGATGGCTTAAGCTTAGAGAACGTGGCCAGCCTTCCTCCCTTCCTTCCAAAGGTCAGGAAAGGGGTTTAGAAAGGGCTGTCAGAGGCCACAAAGATAAAGTTCGACATGGAAAGCAACCAGGAATGGAGGCCCATTTGTAAAACAACACAAAACCCACCAAGTTCTGAAGTCCAGAACACTAAATATTGTTGTATCTTATCCTAGAATTAGAATGCAGTACCACAGAATGCCTGGTCTGGTTGTCACCGCTTTTGATACGCTCAGCTTATGTCAGGCTTCCCAGAGTCTTCAGCTACCGCTTGAAGAATGGCGAGGTTGACCTCTGCCATCACAGTGCAGAGAGAAAAACCAATAATGCAAGTCTCTGGCTCTGGAAAATAGCATCCTTCGTTGTGTGCCTTCTCGTATGGTGGAGGGCAAAAGGGGTTTCCTTCAGTGGTCACGTCTAATTGAGAAGCGGAGTCCCCTTTTTGATAGTCCTTGGTCAAGGGCTGTATCTGTGAACCTAGAAAGCATAGTTTCCAGAACCAAAGACTTATGCCATCCTCAACCCAACTGGAGAAAATAGTGTAAGATTCAAAGACACTTAAGGAGCATCGTTATGTGTCTAACTACTTGAAGCTGCATGTCTCGCATTCAAACCCTACACTAGTCGTTAGTGAAATCCTGTTCCGCAAAAGGCTTAACCTTCAGCAAGGAGCTGCCCGCTAAAGTTAAGACATCTCCGTAGGCATTCTCTGCTGGATGCCGAATTGCACAACTCAGTATGCACTAGAAAATGCCTTTGGAGTTCTTAAGTTACAATCACTTGCTGCTAAAAGTTACGCCTTTTGCGTAACTGCGCAACAGGATTTCAGCCACTGTATTATATTGGCTTTTTGACTGGTGGAGTATATACCATTGAGAAAAACCTTGAGTCTGTTTGTGTTACAGAGCTTTCAAGAGGCAAATCCTCAGCCAAAGCCAGAAACCTTCAGCGTTGGAATGAAACAGTTTGAGTGGGTTCCATTTCCGCTCTACTGCAGAGAAAATACTCAAGGAAAGGGTTCGAGAAGCCGTGAAAAGGACACGGTCAGCTTAATACCAGAGGGAAAAAATGAAGATAGCAGATCCGAAGTCGTTTCTTGCATTCTGGAGCAAAAACTCGTTACAGCCCCATATGAGCAGACAGTGGAGGGATCAAATACGCAACACAACGTTAAACATCCCACTCAGGTTGAAGGTAGAGAGAGGACAGAAGCAGGCAGACCTGACCAGCAACAGAACTCCATCAGGCCATCATCGTCAACCACTGAAAACAAGCCTGAGTTTCAAAGGCTGGCTGATGGACCTGCTACACAAGGAAGGAAGAGCGGCAGCAAAAACGAAGAGTTACTCAACGATGATACACTGGTCCCATCAGTGTTATTACCTGCACAAGTACTGCCTTCAGCTAGTTTCACTGGGCAGGAAATGGCAAAGAATTACAGTGAGGAACTTCCTTGTCTCGATCAGTGTCCAATGTGTCAAATGCACTTCGCCGGAACGTAAGTATCAGCAACCTTCTACGAATTCGTTTTTCAGGACAGCATGAAATCCAGGATGAAGGGGGGAAGAGAAAGAAATGAATCAGTCACTATAGTGCTGTTCAAGACAGTGAACATTTGTGTCCAAGGAAACAGTAAATTGCAGACTCTCCTTGATAAAAGCACTATCTTATAATACTGTGTTTCCCTGAAAATAAGACAGGGCCTTATATTCAATTTTTTGCTCCAAAAACACATTAGGGCTTATTTTCAGGGGATTTTTTTCCTTGCACAACCACCTACATTTATTCAAATGCAGTCATGTCATCTGGCTGCTGCACAATAGCAGAGGGTGGGGTTTCACTTAACTGGGGCTTATTTTTGGGGTAGGGCTTATATTACAAGCATCCTAAAAATTCATACTAGGGCTTATTTTCAGCTTAGGTCTTATTTTTTTTGGAAACAGTAGTAGGAACTATTTAACAATATTTGAATGTGTCTTTGTGCACGACCATGGTATTGTCTCTTTTACATTTCAGCATGAAATCGACATGCCACCACCTCTGCACATGGAAGTTACACAGAGATTAAACTCTGTAATCCATTTCCCCCCAAAAAACACCATTATTACAACCAACACTGTGTCCTGTTGCCGACTAGAAATGCAAGACACATGGGTGCCCATGCACAAGTGTATAGACCTCATGTGCTGGCTGTAATCTGCAGGTCTGATTGCTTCCATTTTCCCCCCTAATCTACAGATGCTCAAGGTTGGATGTTGATAGTCATCTGGCAAAATGCTTGTCTGAAAGTACAGAAGATGTGGTGTGGTGATGGAAGACTAAGAAGCTGTAGGAGGACATCGGCCGATAGCAAAGAAATTTGCAACAATTCACAAGCTAGAAAAAGAAAAGTACCAGCGCCACTGGATACTCTTCTACGCTTTCAAGTTTGTATCCATTGGTGTAAACTGGTGGTTCTTCTTAGGCTGTTAGCATACATACCTCTGGTAAGATCAGAGAGGTCTGGAAAGAAGTTAGATTATAATTAAAAACCTTTTTTAAAGAAACGTTTTCTCAAGAAAAATAACCCATGCTTGTTGTGATGGTCTATTCGATGTACAAACTTTGAACCTCTTGGAAAAGATTTTTTTTTTCATCTACTGAGGGGCGAATGAGCTATGAGCAAGTGAGGCAAAGAATAGGTTAAATCTATCAATAAAGGGCTGGAAATTCTCAGCTGTTATTTTAGTGTCAGTTTTGTTTTTATTATGGTGCATGAGTTGATTTATATTTAAACAAAACAAATTAAAATTGGAAACATTTCTGCAAAGGGAAGCCACCAACAACGCTTCTCATTAAAGTCTTTAATAGATGTGCAAGAATATAAATGATCTTAGCTGTTTATGGGTTAGTATACCATCTTTTGCACAAATAAAACTGGCCAAAGATCTCAACTAGTTAATTATACAAAACTACAAGAACATATTTACTGTTTTACAATCATTAAATTAGCTAATGTGTTTTCATTTACATTTCATTTACATACTAAGACAATTATATCATTACCAGATCCATTTGCAATATATTAGGATTTTTTTTAAACCACACATTTAATTACATCCTTCATTTCTCTTTAATTTATAAAACAAGAACTTCATATAAAAAAATTCTCCTTCATCATGGACAGAACGTTAGTCAGACACTTTGCACAGGAGCAACCAACTTTTCACCAGCAAATTATTTGGCAACACAGCAACATTGTAAATGCCTTAAATTGTAAATAAACCAAGGACTGGTTTCCTAGAACGCCTGTTGAGCCAGTGTGCGTGTGCATCCCATTCACTCATCCTGGGGGAATGTCCTGGTATCACGGAAGTTTAGGCCAAAGAACACTGGGTGTTTGGCTGAACCTCTTTGCCCCAGAATGAGATGGCGTTGGTGGGTCTCCTCACCATGGAAAATCTGCTGCTTGGAGTTAAATCCGAGATACAGAGACGGGGAACATTCCGAGTACACTGAATAGTTCATTCAGAAGTGTGTGTGTGTGTGTGTGTGGGGGGGGAACCCAGCATTTTCTCATGGTTCACTTAGAAAGAAAACAGGACTACCTCTTAGGTTGATGACTTGGTTATCTAAATCTTAGGCACTGGGGGCGGGGGACTTCTAACTGAACAAGTTACTGCTGGTTAAAGCATACTTTGTGCAAAATAATAATAATAATGACACAGTCCAGAGAGCAACTTTTTAAAAAAAACAACAACTCTGGATGGGTCTTTTAAAACTGAATGGTCACAGATAATGTGTTAATTCAGTAAGCCTGGGGAAAGGATGTACAAAATATGTACATGGATGGTTCCTTGAAAGAGACATATATATTTTTTTTTTCAATACCATGATCTGGCAGTCTTAGGCTAAGCACCTCATGGCCTTGAACGCAATGGAGATGTCATGCTCAGCACCTCACAGGATGCTGTACCCTGAGAAACCTAGACAAGAAAAAGAAGGTGAAAATGCCAGCAAATTATCTTTCGTTTTTAAGACCCAATCAGGTGAGATACGATGGCACATCCAATTTCTGCTTTCTGCAGAAATGTCCTTCCCTGGAACTGAAAGCTATTCAGTGGAGGTGGAACAGAAACCTATTGAACATGGAATACTGCCTTTTCTTCTCATCCTTCGAGAGGCGGATCGTTCTGAAAGGTTTTGGATAGCAGTGCACACTGATTTGTCCCCAAATAAACGGATACTTTGCTCTTTAATTCTCAAAGCTGACGAACGATTAACCTGATGCAACATTCCCCCTGTTTTCAAAAAGAGGAAATATGGACATATTTTATATTACTATATGCATACAATATTTATACATTTTTAAATTTTTCTTTTCTATCACTAAGATAACTGCTCTGACAAGTGTTGCGTCCACCAAATCCATTTCTAGAGCTAGTCAATGATATACGCTGGCCATTTCAAAGCAGACAGATCTTTTTAAGTAGGAGGTGTGCTTTATCAGAAAGAAAAATGCAACATGTTGCTGGATTTTCTTAATTTTTTTCCACTTTAAGGCTATGATCCTTTTACTTTTCCATGGTTCCTTTTGAATATTGCATTGATAAAAATATTACTCAAAAATCTAGTATACAACACAAGACAATGTAGGCACTGCTCAAGTATTCTTAGAAATCCACCATGTGCAAATTAAAATTTTCTAATCAGATTTTGGTAATATTTTTCTTCCACATTAAGCATAATCCAGATGTTGCCAGTGATAAATTGCAATTTGGAATTGTTATTGCCGAGACCTCAGCCTCTTCTAAAAGTTCTCTGAATATACAAATTAAACAGCAGCTGTTAACTGGATGTTCCATATGTAAAATACTTACTTTTAAATAATCAGAGCTTGCAGGGTTTTTCAAGTGTTTCAAATACGGAATTTTTAAAATGTATTTCTCCATTTAGGCACTTGAATATTGTACCCAAATTTGTTATAATTGCTAATAAAACACAACTCCTTTTTAATATCTATATCTATCTGGCTATAGATATAGATATGCATAAACTGAGACATTTAAGATAGGTACCACTTGTGAAAGGCATCTAAAAGTATGCTTCAACACCACGAACAATTTATTCTTCAGGATGTTGCACGGTTCTACAGTAGGCTGCATGAAAATGTCCACCAGAGGCATCCAGCTTTGAAAAGGGTTAGATCATCTTTCTCTCCCAAGGATGCAACCAACCACGGATCCTTGATAAAGCAGGCACGAAATGCAGATCTCGTCGTGAAGCCAGCTCTGTCAGTGCTTCATTTTGGGGAAAAAAATAGAGGAAGACACCCACCAAAATCAAGTTTCTTTTATTCTTCAGCAGCAATTTTATCATCATTGGTCTCCACTCAAAACCTTTACAGTTTTCCCCAGCCTCGCATGCATATACTTGTTGTTAGGATTAAATGTCAACGTTCAATTCATGTCATCTGTCCTCCGTGTAGATGCTATCTTTTCCTCTCATACGGTTTCTTCAGTTGACAGCAACAAGGGATTAATATATTCAAATCCTTCAAACTCGGACTGGTCTATTCTTTTTATTACATCTCTGCAAACGGAGAAAACACATTTTAGATGTGCTATAGTCATTTTTGTTTGTAATTCCTCCTCCACCACCAACACAACCACTCCCGTTTGTACAGAGTGCATAAAAATAAAACGCCTCCTTGTGGGTGATCGTCAGCAATCACCGTCGTGACGGACAGACCCACTTTGGGAGCATCTAGAACTCATAGCCAGAGTGGGCAACATCATAGGGTCTCGCAGGACCTCAGAAACGACCACATTTATTAAGACAATAGCATTTCAAAGAATACAATCCATGGCATTGCTTCCGTAAAGTGTTATCCTGACTTAATCCTAGCGAGGAGGGACATATCGTACGGTGAGGTCAGAGGCAAAAGGCACACAGGAACGACCATCGGTGACAACCACGTAGGAACAGGGGCTGTTCACAAAACAACATGCAGTCCAGTGACCAGTTTAGTCTGAAGTGGCTTAAAGTTCAGCTCTAGTTTTGAAAAGTGGGTATTTTTTTTTTTAGCCAGTAATCTGGAATCCTGCTTAGAGGATAGGCCTTCAGGACTGCTAGTGGCAGGAACTATAAGAACAGCCTTGGGGAACCACCCCGGCTTTAGAAGATTCCCAGTCCTGCCTATGCAGAGGTCACAACTGGGACAGCAGTGGCCCTGTTCAACCAGTGCTTTAAGCGATCCCCAACCTTTTTGGGACCACGGACCAGCTGAGCCTCTGAGGAAGGCAGGGTGCACACTCTTGGGCACATGCACGCTCTCTTGGGCGCATGCGCGAAGCGGTGGAGTAGTGTGCGCCCACCAGCGTGAGCGCTCCCCCACCCCTTTGCACATGCGCAGGAGTGCCTGCACGCCCACCCACCCCTTCCCATGGGCACATGCGTGAAGGGGTGGGGGAGCCCTCACGCCGGCACTGGCATGCAAAGCAGCTGTGGGGAGGGGAGTGCATGTGGGGGGTGGGGTGGGAGGTCTGTCTCCGTGGCCCAGTCTGGCTGAAGCCACGGACCGGCACTGGGCTGCGGACTGGGGGGGTTAACAACCTCTGCTTTAAAGGATGTAAACCCATAAGTGTCATTTTTTGTAAATGTATCTTTTGAAAACGTAAAACAAAATCATACGCATCTAAAACCTCAAACAACGCATTAACAAAACAACTACATGAACCATGCTCCCTCCACCCCGCCGGGACCACTTGAGAGATACACCCCACTTTCTCCACCCTCTGTGGAGCCTCACTCCCCTTCCAAAATCGCTTTTGACTCTTGTGAAGGTACACAACTCTTCCCCTTTATAAATACAAAATAAACTCCCAGAAACCCCGGTCGGCACAAGCTGCTGGTGGTGAAGGCTTCTGGGGGAACTGCAGCCCAAGAATACATGGGTGACCCAAGGTTGGGAACCCTTGTTGTAGATGATGAATAGGGGCAGGCCTAGCACAGCTCCCCTCAATGCCTGTGGACTCTGCATGTTTTTTTTAAAAAAGTGGTTCTCAAACTGGGGTCCCCAGATGTTCTTAGACTGCAGCTCCCAGAAGCCTTCTCTACCAGCTGGCCTGGCCAGGATTTCTGGGAGTTGCAGTCCAAGAACATCTGGGGACCTAAGGTTGGGAACCCCTGCTTTATGCCAAAGCAGAGCTAGCCCCTAACTGTCGTACAAATACACGGCTCATTGGGCAGAATATGTAAGGAGCTACTAGATATGACGCTGAGATGGTGCCTCCCTGCTCTGTTTACAGACATAAGGAGAAAAATATGAGTCTCTCCGAAGAAAGTTTCTCTCTTTTCGACTTAACACTGTGTCTTCTTTAACTGTTAATCCCTCTCAGTTGGATTTCACAATATTTGAGAATCTGCTAAGCCAACAAAACGTCCAGGTTGATTAGGGGTTCAATTTATCCAAAATCAGACCACTGCATAACTTCGAAGAGCTGTCTGATTCATATACACTCCTTGGACAAGCAGAATTATGAAAGTTCAAAAAAACAACAACCCATACTCATCATCCGGCGTTAGCTGCACAGGTTCGCTGGTGAACTGGGTATCGAAGTTATCCAAGCCGTAATCGTCTGTGATCTGCGGCTGAAACGGAGGGGTCGCCTGCTTCTTTTCCAGCTGGAAGGTGGCAGAGAGACAGGAGAAGGGATGACTCATTGCTGAACCGACATTAAAGGGAACTCACAGGGGGTTCAACATGGCGTGCGCCACCCCCTCCCCAGCAGTTATTACCAAATGAGATAAATCTACACACCAGGGGTGTGTCTCTCATGCAACTGCAGCATGATGTCTCTAAAGCTGTCGTTTCACTTCGCTCCAGACTGACTTTTTTTTTTTAAAAAAAAATCCCTCCCAGACCTCTAGTTAAAGCACGGAGTAACAGCATCTTCTCTTTTCAAAGATACCTGGCAGATGCCATGGAATCATCTTGCCAAGCTGACAACATGCTCTGCAGCTGGTCAACAGCCATAACCAGGAGCAACATCGACAGCTGCAACAGGACGGAGGCCTCTAGAGATGGCTGAGGTCTCTGGCTGCAGAGTCAGATTCCCTACTGGGGCTCCTTGACAGGGGCGGGACTCCATGATCCAGAGGGTCCCTTCCAGCTGTGCAGTTCTACTATATTATATTGTTATTGTTTTTTTTTCAGCATTTTGTTGTGTCTTTGTCAGAACTGTCCAATTTCCTACATCCTAGAACTGAAGAAATCTCCTACCACCCTAATGAGCCACAGTGGCTGAGACATGTTAGGAGATGTCGTGCAAAACCAGGGAAAATGCCAAGCTTTGGGGTTAATCTATTCAGGATGCCTTTCATCTACAAATTAGATAAGGTCTACACCACTGGTTCTTAACCTTTGTTACTCAGATGCTTTTGGACTGCAACTCCCAGAAGCCTTCACCATCAGCTCTGCTGGCTGAGGTTTCTGGGAGTTGCAGTTCAAAAACACCTGAGTAACAAAGGTTAAGAACCACTGGTCTACACCATAGCAAGCCCACCTTCCTCCCAGCCGTGTTTTTGAAAGGTTTATGAATAACACGTGTCCTCATCTTTTTATACCAGAATATACTACAAGCGAATCTTGACGGTGAAAGGTGATAAGGTTTCCAAACTTGTCAAAACATTCTAAAAAGAGCTGGAAGTTACCCGTTGGACTACAATTCCCTATGCTTAGTGGGTGATTCCGGGAGTTGCAGCATAATCCTCCCCCTACCCCCCCCAGCTCTGATTCCAAACTAGGAACTAGCACCACAACGTGTCAGTAACGAAGTAGGAGAGAAGCAATGGGCTTTACCAGATCCCAGTCTATGCTGCGAAAGAAGGTGTGAGATTTTATATCTGAAAATCCAGTCTGCGGCTGGCATCCGAGCCTCTCTTTGGGATCCTGGAAGCAAGAATGAAATTATCACCGCCACTTACAAAGGACAGCTACAAATGAGACGACTGGGCTGAAACAAAATTCCGTTTCCACCAGCAGGTCGTGGTGGCAGATCAGAGACTGGACGTCAGGAAGGAGTGAGAAAACTGCCACCCAGAAGCAGGGTTTCGTCCCTAATCAACATTAGCCTCAGCCCTCCAAGCAGGAAGGAAACCCTACCTAGCCCATTGTCATGCCAAGGAAGGCTGGGGTCGGCTGGCCATTGGTCAGTGCAGTCCAAAGACACGTAGGCTGGGAACCACGGTGCTCAATGAAGGCCGAGGCATCAGCTCACCAGAGAACCTCCAACCAATCACTGGTGGCTCCCTGCAAAGCAGGTCTCCCGGGCGACAGCTACTTTCGGAAGGGGGTTCCAAGTCCTGTCGGGGCCAAGCAAGCTTTTCCACTCAACTCTACCCACCTCCCTCCCTCCCTGGAAGCCTCTGAGGGGAACGAGCTGCAGGGGGCATCCTGTTTGTCTGTTTGCCGATGCTTTGATCGCTTGGTGGCCTGAGCATCTTAACGGCTATGGTATGGTACTGGGACCTGTTTCAGCGATGGCGTCGCCGGAATTGTGCGGGAGGATGCCTCTACTGAAGTGGTTACAGGTACAGGAAGATGGGTTGGGGGAGGGAAGGGGGGAAGAGAAGTCATCCTTGAAGACTGTAGGTAGAGGAAGATGGGAAGGGGGGGAAGAGAAGTCATCCTTGAAGACTGGGATGCAAATATTTACACATTCTTCCTCTCTCTGGTCATTCCACAACCGTCATGTCCAGAGCTGTTCTTCCACAGTGAACACTGGGCCCCTCTTTGCCTGACAGTGTTGTTGACAAATGCCTGCTTGGAACATCAGTTTAACTCTTTGGCTCTCTCCTTGAGCCAGAAGCACACACACACACACACACAAGGCAAAGTGTGCTGCTTACCTACCGCACCCTGTAGTGCTCCAAGCTCTCTCTGGCCAGTTTAAAACAAAAAACAAAAAAAACCTACCGCACCCCGTAGTGCTCCAAGCTCTCTCTGGCCAGTTTATAATTCAATGATGCAGGCAACACACTGCCCTCTCCCCCTACAGTGAGCCGGGGACTCAACTTGCCAAGGGTGGAAGGCTGAGTCAATCTCAGCCCGGCTCCCTGAGCCCAGGGATCAAACTCAGGTTGTGAGCAGAGTCTTCACTGCAAGAGGAGTTAACCCTACCCTGTCTATTCTCCTCCCGTGCCGACCAAAAACTACAACATGTACCTTTTCAGGATTGGAACCCCAGGAAGTGGGGAGTAACTGCTCTCCACTTCAGCCTTCTGAAAACCATCCCTCGGAAGCTACAGTACTAGTTCTTTTGGAAGAGAAACTCCCAATAGCACTTGAGAAGACCAAGTAAATCTGTATCTTATTTTATCATGCTTCCATTTCCATGAAAACCACTAATTTATTTAGCTACTGCACACTTTCCTTAGTCCCTATTCTTCCAATAAAACAGGCTTACTTAGAGGGTAAATACCACTGAACTGAGTGGAAGTCATTTACATTCTGAATGAACACGATTAGGATCACACTGTATATCTAACTGACTATAATAACTCAATTTTTATAGTCAACAGGTTGTAATAATTGACTATAGCTTGTGTACATCCCATTGCCTACACAACAACAGCCTATAAGATATGGTCAATAATTTATTTTAGCTTTCACTTTTTTTTAAATTGTTTTTTTAAAAAAACCAACCATAAGGTTCTGAAATTAAGTTCGGGATTCTATTTTGTAAACTATTTCGAGAACAGCAGCCATTAAACACAAGGCTTCCTTAAGTAAGGGGTGGCTCTAAAAACAGCTGTTCTCTTTAAAAGGAGACATTTCAAACAAGGTCAGAAAAATGGAAATTCTGACAACGAGGAAGGACTACTACAGTGAGTGCTGAACTGAAGGTACAGAAAGAAATATCTCAGTGGTTTTCTTTAATTTTTTTTAAAAAGGAAAGACGTATCAGTGGCAAGAGGCTGAAAAACTTACCTTATTTAAAAATCCTTTCAAAACATGAGAGGCTTTCACAGAAAGAAATCTTGGAATTCGGATTGGTTTTTCAAGGATAACTGTTCAGAGAATTTATTGAAAAACAACGTTATTCCTCACACACTGAAGTAAATTATTGTTATTTTATTTTTACTAAAGAGGCTGGAAATAGGAAAGCTATTCTGCACTGAAGACTGTGTAGCGTGGGAATCTTGCCTGAAAACAGAGAATAAAATTTGCCCAAATCTGGTGAATGAAGATCTGGGGGGTGGGGCACAGAATAAGCAAAGGATGGAAGGAGACTCAAGAGGGCGAGCTGTTCCCAAAAGAAGAGAAAGAAAGTGGAGGGAGGGATGTTCCAGGAATGGATCACCTGCATCTCTCCTGTTCTGAATACTGTGCATATACACCACAGGACAGTGGGAGGAAGCGAAATCCTGTTTCACCTTCCTTTTAGAGCTTTGTAAAAGACAGGTGAAGGCGTGAGTGCCTCTTGCTTGGACGGCCATCCCCAAGGGGTTGGAGGTGCTGGGGAAAGGTGATTCTGCAGGAGGCAATCTGCCTAGGGACACCTGGTGCGGGGCAGGGGTAGAGCGACACACCAGAAGGCTGCGGTCCAGGGTTTGAACCTCCGCTTCTCCCATGGGAACCCACTGGCAGACAGGAACTGAAAAACCCACTTTTTAAATATCTCACTCGCCTTGAAGGCCCTCTTTGGATTGCCGTACGTCGGTTCCAAGTTGTCGGCACAGAGCAACAACAACCAAACCTATCTATACATGTAGAGGCAGCAATAAAATACCTTGGAAGAGGTAATCTTCAGTGTTCATATCTGGATTGTCAGTAATAATATCAAAGGGAGATCTTCCTGCCATCATTTCAAACATCAGGACACCGAGCGCCCACCAGTCCACACTGAACCCTGTAAAAATATTTCAGAAGGGGTGCTTTGAGGTGAAAAGGGGCGGCGGAAGCTTCACATGCCCGCTCCTCCTTACTCTATTCCACAGAGGCTAAGCTCTAAGTAAAGGCTCAGGAAATAGATCGTGCTGCTGCTGTTTTTAAAAGGCAGTTTGAAAAGACCTGCTAAACTGTTTTTCTCAATTGAGATGATTCATAGAGAATTAAGGACCTGTGCATGGAGTACTATGTTTCGGGTTACTGTAAACTGTTTCTGTTTCGGTGCAAACTCTGCCCTGAGGGCGCAACGGGCCATGTTGCCAAGTCACAAATCCGATACCTACGCAATGGCTTCTACTTATCCCTGTCGCAACATAGGGAGGACACCCCAGTGTGCTTTCTGACTGACCTGTGAGTAGGAACTCGTGTTGGGAAGACGGAAGCCTCAAGAAGGTGTGATATCCCTCCTCCTTTCACACTCAAGAGGAAGAAGGAAAATGACAGCAATGAAATCGTTACACTTTCTGTTATAACAACCTACCATACTCTTCTCCTCGTAGGATCTCGGGGGCGATGTAATTTGGCGTTCCACAGAAAGTGCTCGTCGTGTCCCCAGGACCCAATCCTTCCTGAATAAACAAAACACAGCAGTTTCTCTATGAAAAATAAACGGACCGGGAAGAATTTCCCCCTCTCAGGCCAAGTCACGCCCAAGGTTCCTCCCCAAAGCTGGAAAAATCGGCAGCGTCACTGTTTATAAACCCATTTCGTCTCCAGCAACCGGAGCTGTGAGCCCAAACAGCATACACGCCCAAGCATAAAGGAAAGCAGTCATTAACTCTAACTGGACCCCTGATAAATATTTACTTGATATTCCATGGAAATAACTTCCAACTGCAATGGGGCTTCTCCCCACCCCACTTCCCCTGCCTTGACTGCCACTCTACGACTTTGCCCTGAAACATGGGATTCCTTGTTCTTCCAATGGTCCTGCAAGCACACAGGCGTGGTCTGTGCGTGAGCCAGGACCGAGCGTGCTCCCTCTCCTCGGAACAGGAGGAAAGTTCTGTCGGATCAGCCAAGAGATCCGATCTAGTTTAGCATTTCACCCTCCTCACGATGGCCAGCTCATGTTTAGAAGAAGGGCTCGAAGGCAATAACACAGCGGAAAGCAAAGTGTGCTGCTTATAGTCCACCCCGTAGTGCTTAAAGAACTCTCTGGGTGGTTTTTAACCGTTAATTATGCAGGCTACATACAGCACATTGCCCTTTCCCTCTACACTGCGCCGGGAACTCAATTTACCAACTTGAGAAGGATGGAAGCCCAAGTTAACCTTGGCTGGCTAACCTGAGCCTGTCAGGATTGAACTCGGGTCACGAGCAGAGTCTTGACTGCAGTCCTGCAGTTTAAACACTGCACCACAAGGCTTCCCCAATAGCTCTCAAGAGATCCCCACCAAGCGGCATTCATTGATTGTCTCTGCTTATCTCCTTGTTGTCTCTCTGCACCACAAGGCTGCCCCAATAGCTCTCAGGAGATCCACACCAAGCGACATTCATTGTCTCTGCTTATCTCCTTGTTGTCTCTTTCAGGTTTTCATTTAGCTTGTCTTAAGTTCTTATTAGAATGAAAGTGGACTGCGCGGTGTTCTGAAGGGTATTTCCAACCTGGGCACAAGAGCAGGCAACTGGAAAAGGCGTTCTAGCGCTCACCAGTGCAAAGCGATATATACTGGGGCAGAAAAATCCCAACTTCACATAATGCACCGACGATTCTCAGACACAGAAACTGAGCAAGAAAGGGATCTTGGAGTTGTGATAAGTCCAATATCACATTCCCCGGTCCATAGGGAGCGTGGACACAGTGTGAAAAGTTACACCTCTCTTGTCTGACTCATAGGTTCAACTGTTAAACAGACACTGGAATTGTCAAACATTGTCATGTCCTTAGCAGAAGCTAATTACTACACACCTCTAACATCCTCTTAATATAACAACATTCTGAGTTTAAAATGAAGAATAATTAAAGCATGGGGTAACGTGGGGACAGTGAAGAGGAAATTTACCTTGCACATGCCATAGTCTGTTAACTTTATATGACCTTCTGCGTCCAGGAGAACATTGTCCAGTTTTAAATCTCTATAGATGATGCCTCTCTCATGTAGGAAGTTGAGAGCAATACAGATTTCAGCAGCATAAAACCTTGAACGCAAAGACAGTTTTGTGTTTTTAAAGGGTAACATAAGCTAACAGGTGCTGTTAAAACCCTGCTCGACCATGTGCATTGTTTTTCGAGATAAAAGGAATAAAAATGCACTGCTCCTCCCACAGTCCAAAGGGAGCCTGGACGCTCCCAGGAAGAGTTTTCTTGGCCTCGTCCTGTCAATGACGCTGAAATGGATTCCCCGTTTGGGTCAAATCCCAAGCAAGACGTCATGCTCTCTGGTGAATATTTGTACGCGACCCAAATTAACACCTGATGGGTTCACGGCGTCCGTTTTGGCACATTTAAATAAGGCACGGTGGCAACTAAGCAAACAGAAGCCAAGGGACGTTCCATGGAAAAGGACTGAAGCAGTCTAGGAGGTGAAAAGGGACAACTGCACTCACACACTAGAGTTGAACATAAAACTGTTAAGAAAAATCATCAATGGCTTCGGCCGGTAGAGATGCATGCACTTGGAGCACTCCATTTAGGCTAAGCTAGTGTGGAGAAGTTGTGAATAGTGAGGGACCGGGGGGGGGCACAGAAAAGAAAAGAGAGAACAAACCCTTGCAGCTGCCCTTAAAAATACCTTGCATGTTCTTCTGGGAGTTTTCTTTGCCGTTGCATATGAAACATGAGGTCGCCCCCATTCACGTACTCTATAACAAGAAACAACCTGAAAGTATAACATGCAAGCTCTGGTTATTTGGCTTGAGGAAAAGGGCTACGCAAGCCAATCTGCCTTCAGGGCTTACAATGCATGCCATGGTTGGGGTGGGGGTGGGAATTCAGGCATCTCCCTTTTCAGTTCAATGCCACGTCAACCCAGCGACATCGTGGCAACGTGTCCTCCCCACCCCCCGGGGCCTATGGAGCCCCGTTTCCAAAGGAAGATGCTCCTGTTGCACGGATTCCCGCTTGATTACTGTCTGGTCCTTCTCTGCTCCATCTGTCTATGCTTAGTTCCGCCTTTTCTGTACAACTATTGGCTCCTGAATCAGGGTTCCATTGTGATGGACAGGAGTGGTTCCTGACCTGTCCGTCACACAAGCCTCGCACTTTTTGAATTCCTAGAAGATTGTAACAAGACCTTCCTCTCTCCCAAAACATTGCACACCCTTGAACTGAGAAAACAGAGAGGAGAACTATAGAATAGCTTTTAGGTGACTCTGCATCTGGCTTAAGATATCTGAACATAATGAGGAGGTATCATGCGACATTACAAGAGTGGACAATTTGCCACTTGCATGTTTTACATCAAGCAAACTGCCCCCAGGGCACTAAACAAACATCGTCATCAACATCCCCGCCACCACAAAAATCAACGCTGTCTGTACTAGATGCTTCCTAGGTAAGGTTATTAATTTTCAGGGGTTTATGACATTTCATCAGTACAATTAGGACCGTGGTATCTGTAGGGATCGGTTCCAAGAACCCCTGCCACGGATACCAAAGATGGACGGAATAGGGAACACTATACGTAGCATATTCTTGGCCACCCTCTAGTGGCCCGGTTCTGGTAAGTACGCCTTATCAGGGAAGTACTTGTATTTAATATTTTCAGGCAGTGGAGAAGCGAATCTGTAAACACTGATCCTGTATAGTGGGGTAGGTGGGTCCTACTGTAGTGGGGAAAATGGTGCAAAGAATTTAAGGGGAGGAAATAAGGCCAGGAGCTTTTTGATTCCACACAAACATCACTTATGTACTAGATTTCATTAGGATTTTAATGTGAGAAATTTTCGCTGACCACTTCAAGAAACTGTCAACCAACTACGCAGCTGTTTGTTTTCTAATTAAAATGTATATATTAATAAGGTTTATTATTTATTTACCATGATAGTAATTTTAGAAATTACACAAAATGAAGGTGATATGAAGATGTACGGTGTTAAAAGACAGTGGTTAATAACGTGTGCTATCCCAAACAATGCCAGTAGCTTCAAAGTTTGCCAAGCAACACTACTTTATACGGGGGAAAACAGAGGATTTAGTATATTAAGTGCTACATGAGTAAACAAATCATTATTACAAATTGATTTTAGCCACACTGAGCCCAATAAGGTTCTGCTTAAATGCTACAATCTGAAGTAGCAAAAACCTTAAAAAAGTATGAAAAATAAGCCGATGCAGATGAAAGCATTTAAGAATTTAAGTGTCAATCCCAAAGGCCCAAAACTTTACCCATTTGTGCTATGGATACAGGTCCATCCTGCCAAAAGGACGTAAGATGCCAGTAATAAATACTCACACTAATGCCAGGGTGCCCTCTAAATGATGAATTCTCAAACCCTTTAACTGTCCACATTTATATCTTGCTAAGAGGCCTGCTAAATATAAACAAGGGCACTTTTCACCGCCTTGTGCTGCCCGAACCAGAAATCGCGCCCAACCCCAGAAACATATTAAGGTACACTGGCCTCAAACCAACAGCCGTTCCCAATTAAAATACACCAACGGAATCAATAGGATTTGAACCAGGGTTGACTTATCATTCAATAATTCATTAATTGGTCAACGCAATCTGGGACTAGCCCTTCGACTGACCCCATAGGACCAAGGCCAGACAAGGTATTTGGGCACACGAAGCAGACAAAAGTTCCACCTGTGCCTGGCCCCTTCTCTGGCAGGAAAAATGCAGAAACAAACTGAAAAACTCAGCCTATGGGACCCCTTTTACAGCACTCAGAATCTGCTGCCTCGGGGAGATCATTTCACTTGGGCTAATCACCCAGCCAGCCATGGCTTTTATCATATCAGAAAGAAAACCATAGGGATTGACCGAGGGTTCCCTTATTTACTATGGATAGAGATGATCCGGGAGTGGATTGTATCTCCCACTTGCTGTGTTAAGTGACTTCAGGACTGCCGTCCTTCTCTGCAGAAGAATCACCCTGTGGGCAAATGACAGGAAATACGCCTGGCCTAAAACACCTACAGTGGACCCTCAACTTACAGACTTCTCTGGCCGCAAAATTTAGTTTCGACTTGCAGCCAGAGAACTGACCTACAGACCAGAAAAAAATGGACCAAAAATGGACCAAAAATGGCCAGTTACAGCATTAATCGGTTTTCAATGCATTGTAGGTCAATGGAGATTCGACCTACAGACTTTTCGACCTGCAGCCACCGTTCTAATACGGATTAATTCCGTAGAGGGTCCACTGTACTCCCTTCCCTCCTTTCCAGAACTGGTCCAGGAAACCCTTCTGACTCCTCTCTGCAGCTGCTTCTGTTGTCTGCTCTACATATAGAAAAATCTGTTCAGGTACAGAGGAAGTACAAAAGTTTCCTTCTTTAGGAGCAGACTGCACTGACTCCCTTTCCTTCCTTGCTCACAATCTCAACAGGACGAGTGAGCGAGGAGGGTGAAACCTCATGGACTGTTGCTTGCGTAATGAAAAGACATTCACAGATGTGAAAGGCCCTCTCTGTCCAAAGAGGGTGGGGACCCGAATTTGGGAGGAGGACCTGTCCCCGGAAGGAGACCTAAGAAAAAGGAGCTGGCCTCTAGCAAGCCGTTTAAAATGTAGGGTTCAGATACTCAAGGCTCTGCCTTCAGGCAGACCGCAGCATCTCACCCTAGTTCTTTCGGTTCAGGGCTGAGAGGCAGCATGCAAGGATACGACATCTGTCCAAAGAGGGTGGGGACCCGAACTTGGGTGGAGGACCTGTCCCCGGAAGGAGACCTAAGAAAAAGGAGCTGGCCTCTAGCAAGCCGTTTAAAATGTAGGGTTCAGATACTCAAGGCTCTGCCTTCAGGCAGACCGCAGCATCTCACCCTAGTTCTTTCGGTTCAGGGCTGAGAGGCAGCATGCAAGGATACGACATCCACTGAGGTCCTGGCAAAATAATATCCAATTTCTCCTAAAAAGTCACCAATGGTTGACTTACCGACTTGTTGTTTGAAAGCAGGAATGTAAGCCAACAAGGAACGGGTTACTGGACGCCTGTTCAAACACATGCTTTTCTGTCTGCACCCAATCAATATCCTGAAACAGAGGTATCAGGGAGGTCAGAGTGGCTGTATTACAAACTCTGGGAAACACCAAGCCTGGAGAGTCCAACTCATTTAAATTTGCACACACCAGCATCACTACCAAATGATTTGCTATTTTTTTAAAAAAAAAATCCAACTAACTCAATCAACCTCTTGAATTTGTAGCATTCCAGTTGGGTTGGAAATCAGAGTGCAAGCGAGAGACAAAAAAGGGCTGGATGACACTTGGAAATGCAACTGGGAAAATGCGAAGAATGAGAAATAAGATTTTTGCTGTTATTGAAGCAACTATAAAATATTTGGAGGCTGTTGCAGATATAACACGGCACATGGCCAAGATACTTAGGTTAAAGAAAAATGAAATCTCCCCACCCATCCACATAGGTGCGAATCCTCTCCTTCCTCATACTAAACGTATAAGGATATCATTACTCATAACTGAATCTGGTTACCACGACAGTGAGGTGAGCCCCAGTCTCCAGACAATGTGTTAGTAAGTTCAATATCACTGGTCCTGTACAAATTTATTGTGGAATTGGACTTCTGAGACCCATAAAAACCTGTTCTTTTAGCTTTTCTTCCAGGCGGTGGTTCCCAACCTTGGGCCCCCAGATGTTCTTGGACTAAACCTCCCAGAAGCCTTCACCACTAGCTGTGTTAGCCAGGATTTCTGGGAGTTGTAGTCCAAGAACATCTGGGGAACCCAAGGTTGGGCACCACTGGTGTAGGGAAGAGACTGAGAGAACTGGCCATGTGCAGACAAACGAGGGTATCCAATGCCTACTGTCTAGCCATCTGCATTTAAGCATTCTGTTTATTTGCACTCACTAACATTTTTGGTATTCTTGCACTCACTAAAAAATTTTATATTCTTTCCCATGATTTTGAAAAGATCACATATTTCTGTGTTAAAAGATCTTGGCCTAAACATGTATTTCAAAAAGCCTCTACAATGGACCATGATCAGACCTCCATCCTGGCATTCTGGTTCCCAGCAGCCCTTGTTAGAGAGGAAGAGAAGGTGAAAAGGTGGCAGAAGGCCAGCGTGGATTCCACTCACTTCTGATTCAAGGTACGCCTACCATTGACGCAAATACACACAAACACACACACGGAGGAATTCAAACCTCCACCCCCAAGAGCTCCTTTGCTTGATACGATTGCACCTCTGTTCCTTCAACTAAGAGTTCACAACTGCACAAAAGAGATTCTAAGGTATTCTGTCCCACAAGTGTAGCCCAGAATGGCTGAGTGAAACGTTGAGTTTTAGAAAGAAAGAGGCAAATGAAATCTGAGAGCCTTTTTCTTCCAGGATCAACCTCACTCCTTCCTGGCATTCCCAGTGGTTAATGGCTTTTTAAAAAAAGTTTATACGGTCTACTTATAGATTTTGTCTTATCACTTGCTGTTCTGCCAAGTCATCCTCTTACTTTTCAGAACGCCTGCAGTTCCAGTCAGATTAATCAGAGAACTTACTTACCCCCCCACCCCCACCCAAGAACGGTAACTACCGATCTTCAATATAACTTGGGATTTCATTTCAACTTGTTGGATTAAAGCTCCTACCTCATCATCGTGGACTAATTCTTTTTTCACGACTTTCATCGCATAGATCTGGTCGTTTTTTTTTAACCGTACTAAAAGAACTTTGGCGTAGCTTCCTCGTCCAATGACTCTGATTAGATCGAAGTCTTGTAGACCAAGTCCCTGAGAGATCTTGATTCCGTCCATTCCATCAATAACTGGCTTGAGTTCCTGTATGGAGAGGCAAAAAGATCAAGGCGCTACACCATCTTTTCAACAAAAGAGGCAGAAAGACCCACACACATCAATTCAGGCATCAGCCACTCACACACGGCAGCTTGTTCAACTCCTGCCGTTTGTTTGCTAATTTAAAAAGAGCAATAAACAATTGCTGTTAATAAATGGTTTTATTGTGGCTAACAACTCTCGGAAACCGACTCAAATAAAATATACTCAATATTCAATATCTCGGAAGGGAAGATAAGGTCTCTGTTCTCACTTGCAAACAACCAACAACAGACGCTTCTTAGTGGTTAATTATTCCACATCAGGGATAGTGGAGATTTATAATTTATTTCCCAAATCAAGTGCAGCATGCGTCTTTAAAAACATGCACTATTTTTAATAGTCTGTTTAAAACCATTTATTCAAACTGAGATCACAATCAAAGCTCTGAACTAAGAGAAGCGTTTACCGAAGAACTCTTGATCTATGCTTGACTACTAGTAATAAGAGATTGAATAGAACCAATGACTCAAGAGACACTTTTTTCGACTGAATAGCTAGGGAAAGTGACAATAATCAAGAGGCCAAAGTATTAAAATAGGGCAACAGTCATCCATTCGGGCTGGATTTTATTTCATTTATAAATCATGAATTAAATCTCTTAACAAAATCATTTTTGGACCATTTAAATTAATTTTTTAAAATTTAAATTGTGAAATAAATCATTTTGATTTTTATCCATCCTGCCATGTATGTACTTCTGTCTTTCCAGAATAATCATATTTGTCTGGACTACATAGTCCATGTGAACTGCTCAAAATATCAATTCTTTATGTTTTAGCTAAGGCTTATTTCAGACCAATTATCATGGGCAAAAAGCAAGCCAATCTCATCAGCTCCAGAAGTTGTTTGTGTGTGTTCCTCACCACCACTGCAAGCCCTTCTAGGTACGAAAGAGGTGAAATGAAAGATGCAGCTTTGTGAAGCACTTTCTCTTTGTTCAAGAATTTTCTGGCCTCTTGCGGTTCTTTAAAAGTAGCCTGTAGGGCCATTTAAAGTGTGTCAGGATTTTTCAGGCCACTGCACTCTCTCTCTCTCTCTCTCTCACACACACACACACACACACACACACACACACACACACACACACATAGAGGGAGGGAGGGGTGTCTGGTTTGCTTAGTTGCTCTCTTTCAAACAGCAGAGAAATAACTTATAATAATTGACAATTATTTCCTCAGGGGCCAAAATAATTGAGACTGCACTATTTATTGCCCATCTCTTAATGTCACTGTCTTCCAGTGATAACAAAGCAAACTAACAGAGGGCTACTATGAATGTTTACTCAAAAGTAGGGCAATGGGGTTGAATCTTGAACGAGCAAGCATACTAAGCTTCCTGGTCAACACCCTTATTCCCAGAACAGGTTTAATGTCCACGGCTCACTGCTGAGGTCTTTTTATTTGGGAAGGTAGTGGGATAATTCTCAAAGCCCCTTCAAAAACAAAATGCATCAAGTTCAGAAAACACTGCAAGCCCAAATGTATTCAGCAACATCCACCATGTAAGGGTATATATATAAACCAAAAAAACAAACAAAAAAACAAACAACCCAACCCTACCTCAGAATCATCTTTAATATTGTCATGCTTCCGGGCTGAAGGAATATAAGGTACTGGAAGACAAAATGGAAAAAAGTATAATAATAAGGCAATCAATAAAGCTTGAAGAATAAAGACAATCTTATATTGGGCCAGCCAACTAAAAAACAGCCAGTAGCTCTACGTGAAACGTAATATGGAATCTGGAGAGTGGAGATTCCTTATTCCCATAATTCTAATTGACATGAATTATTCCTTTCCTCTCCTCTTTCCTTTCTCTTTTCCTCTTTCTCCTTTCCTTTCCTTTTTCAGCTGGGCTACTCCATCAAAGCTGACCCGCCAAATAAAACCAGCAGGAGTTTTCCGGCTATTTGGACCAAATGCAGTTGGGGTCGCCGTACCCCAAAGGTAACCAAAGTCCTTAGACCCACGGGCTGTAGCAGCGCGCTGACGGTATGGATTGGGGTTAAGTTGCTCCAGCGGCAGATCCAAGCACAAAGCAGTGATCTGTAAATTTCCAGAGTGGTTTCGGACATTGTTCTGGTGGCCGTCGGCAGGAGAGGTCCTGCTGTTCAACCTCAACACCTTCCTTCACCATGCCTATCAAGACCCAAAAGGAACTCAACTGTTAGAGGACTGCATGAAGAGTGAAGTGCCCCAGACGGGAACTTGTAAAATTTTGCAGAGCCTTTGATAGAGGACCACAAAATCAGGGACAAAAACAACAACAGCGCTTGCCCGTTTTGACTGGCAACTAATCTCCGGGCAAGGCCGAGGCTTTGCAGGTGAGAGGGACTTGAACCTGAACCTTCTGCCTGCAGCAAGCACAAAGCCACCACCAAGTGGGCAACACCTTTCCCTGGAAAAATCATTTCATCGCCTCGCAGAAGAAATTCTCACGAGGGCCCAAATGACAAGGTCAAACAACGAGTTGCGATTCCTTGGGATCCTTTAGGTGGAAGGGCACCGTATCCAGGCGAGGGCTAGACTGCGTTTGTGTGTGTGTGTGTGTGTGTGCCCCCCTAATGGACGCCCTCTTCACAGGACCAGAATTAGTTACATTAAGAGGAATGTCAATACTCACTTCCATCATTCTCTTCCGTGGGGATGTCCGCATCATCATTCTTAGCATCTAACTGAGGTTCCTGGGAAGGCATCACAGAATCCTGTAAGAATATATATTACTGAAAACCCACTAATGATGAATTTTATGTATCTCTGGCGTGCTCCCTGTAGAATTAACAGAACATCTTTATATCTGTTTTCCCTTGACAATTAACTAGATTACAGCTGAAGCAGACTTAACTCCATGTCTACACAGAGCAGCGTAAACAAGCCTTATGTTTATAAATTCTCTTTTAAAGGTAATATCAGCACATATACCAGAGAGAGAGAGAGAGAGAGATCAAAACACATGATCAAGCAGAATTAAAGACTTCTGAGGTTTTCTCATGTGGGATGGTAATAACCGTACTCAGCAAGAAAGAGAATTCAAACGTCTGGAGAAGGTGAAGGGAGCTCAATAAAGACATGGGTGCACTCCAAAATAATTTAAGAAGGCAGGGATAAACCAGCACATATATCAGAGAGAGAGAGAGAGAGAGCTCAAAACACATGATCAAGCAGAATTAAAGACTTCTGAGGTTTTCTCATGTGGGATGGTAATAACCGTACTCAGCAAGAAAGAGAATTCAAACGTCTGGAGAAGGTGAAGGGAGCTCAATAAAGACATGGGTGCACTCCAAAATAATTTAAGAAGGCAGGGATAAACAACAGGCAACCCATATAAAATGTATGCATGGCAGCTAGATTTAATATTTCAAGATTTTAAAACCTTAAAAAAAAAATAAGTCATACACTGAGCCTGCAAAAAGTTAAGTCTTAAAATCATTATAAAGATACCCAAGTAGTTCTGGAATAGAACCAGCTTTCTTTTTTTGCCTCAATGCAGCTTCAGGATAGAGCTCTGATGGCTTGGGTCATAAAAAATGGGCACAAATGAGATTAATCCCTTCCAGAGTTAATAAAACCTGTGTTGCACCTCTTGGAATCAAATAAAACTGTGAAAACTAAGAACCAATTTGAGCTAAGAGGGAAAACAATGACTGGGTGTGCAAGAAATGATGCCGACAGAGATTTCTTAACGTCAGGCGTTCACCTCCAAAAAGTGTAACAGCATGACAGGATTTCAGCCACTCTGTTATTAATCACGGACATGCTATCCTGGAGGCCAGTGTCTGGGAAAACGCCACTGAAATCAGTGTGACTTGCACTCGAGTATGAAACAAAGCAAGAGGAACGTCCGGCTCCTTTCCTAAAGAGCTTAACATCTGAGATGAAATAAGGCACACGGTCAACTCTCCGTGGAAAGGGATCAAGGGATTACTGGGAAGAACGCAGAAGAGTTCCAGAGGATCGTGGAAGGGAAGAAGATGTAGGGTTTATTTCAACAGGTTAAGAGAAGGTAGCCACAGGAATGCAATCTGAAAAGGCTTTTATATCTTTTGGAATCCAGATGAACAACAAGGAATGAAAAGGGAAGACAATTCAGTGAGAGGGAGAAACCCAGATGGGGTTTTTGAATCACAACTATTCAAGATCTATAGATGTTTCATTATGCTTCTAGCATCCACACATCCTCCCCTGATCTTTCCGTAAGTCTCTGCAAGATACTGCGGGGGTACACTGACCTCAACAATCCAACAAAGGTTGGCTTGCTTCCCCCCCCCCATGAAAAAATATGGGGTGGAGCCTTAGACAAGCTATGTATTCTTTGTAAGGTCTAATGTAATCCAAGGATACCAGCTGATTTAATACTTTAGGGCATGATTTAACCAACAACTTGCTTGCCCCCCAGAGAGAAGAGTCTGCAGCACCGCTCTTAACTCTAACCAGCCCAGTATCAATCAAATGAGATCCTCTGTGCATCAGTTTGATCAGGAGACCAACACCACTGCTTTATGTCATGATTTAACCAACAACATGCTAGCCCCCCAGAGAGAAGAGTCTGCAGCACTGCTCTTAACTCTAACCAGTCCAGTATCAATCAAATGAGATCCTCTGTGCATCAGTTTGATCAGGAGACATTTCCCCCAAGCAACAACGTCTAGCAGGCACGGATGACTTGCATAGGTGCCTATTAGGCCACTAACTCCTATGAACAGCATCTTAAAAACAATTAGGAGCAGTCTCCATGAATCTGAGCGGAGAATTACCGTATTTTTCGCTCCATAAGTGATTTAACCAACAACTTGCTTGCCCCCCAGAGAGAAGAGTCTGCAGCACCGCTCTTAACTCTAACCAGCCCAGTATCAATCAAATGAGATCCTCTGTGCATCAGTTTGATCAGGAGACATTTCCCCCAAGCAACAACAATGTCTAGCAGGCACGGATGACTTGCATCGGTGCCTATTAGGCCACTAACTCCTATGAGCAGCATCTTAAAAACAATTAGGAGCGGTCTCCATGAATCTGAGAGCAGGGAATTAATGCATGGCATAAAGGAAAGTTAAATCCTAAAGCTCATACAGACATTATTTAACTGACGTTTTGGATTACTGCGAGTGGAAGAAAATACTGTAGTGCTGAAGAGATCAGATAAGGAAGACTATTTCGACACCAAAATGTCTTTGTAGATATTCCCAATTTCAAATAAAAATAAAGCTCTCTCTTTGCCTTTTTAACGTTGAAGAGCGACCCATCTGTAAGGCCTCCGCGACGCCTGCGAAGCAGAGTCAAGCCCAAGAAGGTCACTCCGGTGTCGCCGACAGAAGCTCCGTGCTGGAGCGAAACTTACCATATGCCTTTTGCAGGTCAGTGGGACGAGAATGTGGCAGCGTTTATGGACCAACAACTTGCAGTTGATACACTTGTAGCCTTGCCTTCCGAGACCCCATATCCTCTCACTGCATTGGCCACAGTATGCTCTCTGGAAAGAAAGCAGGAATCGTCTCTTAAATTACACACCTACTTCATAGTATCTGGAAGATTAAACGGAACAAGGTTTTAAAAGCAGTTTGAATAGTGGAAAAGTGTTCTGCGAATCACCCGGCAAAGACAGTAACGCACATTTCATAGGAATGTGAGGGCAGGCCTTATAGATGAGGTTGACTCTAGCTTCCATCGTTCACCATGGGACCTCCCCGCAGGGGATGGTGCCACACACTGCCCGCAGAGGACAAAATGTAGGTCTGTCCATTGTGTCGCCTTCTGTTAGACACAGCCAGACAGATTTCACAGCCCCACTTGAAACAGACAGCCTATGTAACATTAATCAGAATCTTTTCGTTCTCCACCTAAACCTTTACATGCAAAGCCAAACTCATTCCCCTACCACCACTACAGCACACAAGATTTTGCCATTACGTCTGAACACACTCACTCACTTTAGAATGGATATTGCAGAGAAAGAGAGAGAGAGAAGCACCGTTTTTCACCACAAAAGAACGACGAGGTCACCCTAAGCGCAGGGAAATACATTAGATGAAACCGTTAGAGCCTAGAGCCTTTTTGCTTGAAGAGAAGGCTCTTTTCAGGTCAGTGGAACAAGTGAATGACATTCCATTGCCGGACCGCGCAATGCTTATGGAAAATGCATGTCTGTGTACAAAACGGAGATAAAAGACTAAGGGGCGTAGCTAAAGCTAGCTGTCCCCTCACAGAATTAAGTCCTCCTGCTCTCAACCCACAGGTACCATTTTTGAGCCAAGAGATGCAAAATACCAGGATAATTTGAATTCTATAACTAAATAGGAAGACAGATAAATAATACTTCAGAAGGGAAGCCCTTCACAGATGTTACGGATGCGTTCCTGGTGAGGATGTTTTATATCCAAACTGAAAGCAGAGAAAAGAGTTATCAGCCAGAGCTGAAGCTTTAAAAGTGACCAATATTTTGATGTCCTTGCACATCCAAGGTTGAATTCCCAGTAGTGCTGCATTAGGAATCAAAGGGGTGTGATTAGTGCTGGGTTTCTCACTTGGCAGAAGTAGCTTATTAGGGCCAGAGGCTACACAGGGCTTGTGATGTTATAAATCCCCAGTAAGTATTACCTGCTGGCTGGATAGCACAATGGTTTAAGTCTCTGGCTCTGGATCCAGAGGTCGGGAGTTCGATTCCCCCACTGTGCGTCCTGCCAGTAGAGCCAGCCTGGGTGGCCTTGGGCAAGCTGCACAGTCCCAGGGCGCCCTCTGGAGGAAGGTGATGGGAAAGCCCTTTTGAGTATTGTATTCTCTCTTTGGAAAACCCTGGAAATGGTCACCATAAGTCAGAACTGACTTGATGGAACATTTAAAAAAGGTATTATCTGATTTAGGAATATGTTTGAGATCTTTATGCAGCAGCCAAAGAGAAAATGCCCTTGGGGTGTTTCAAAATCTATAAAAACATAGAACAATAAATAAAATGATAACAAAAACATGAGACAAGAAAAAAGTGGGAACCTTTGTATAACTGGATGAAATATGAGAATGTGAAAGGGTTAAAATTATGAGAAAGAAAATACATAATTTTGGATTTTAAAGCCTTAGAAAAAATGGTAAGATAAGTGTAAAGTAAGATTAGTAAGAAACATATCGACAAATGTAATGATGATATACATTGTCCTCTATCATCACATTCTGTATTTTTATTTACCCCAATGACAATTGTAATAATGATATACATTGCCCTCTATTACATTCTGTATTTTTATTTACCCCAACACCCTGATCTAAATCCCCTTCCCCATGATCTTCCCTTACTCAATGGAAAATGAATACAAATTTAAAAAATATAAAATAAAATAAAATCATAACAAAAACAAGAATATCATCCAAAACAGTAGCAAAACATTAAAATATCAAAACATTAAGATATGGAAAAACACATGAATAGTGAAAGAAAAAAAATCAGAATCAAGGACTGAAACACCTGTTGAAAACAGGAGGTCTTAGCCTAGTATTGTCATCTTCCTAATGAGGATGCAAGCAGGGGAGAAAGGACCCACTTGGGGGGGGGCAATCCTGCAAAAGTTCTTCTGTTAGCCACCCATCAAACTAATGTGAGTAGCAACGTTGAGAGAGAGAATGTCTAAGTGAAATCCTACCTAGTTCACATATTGTAGAAGAGGTGAAACCCACAGCCACACTCTTACAACCAACAACTGTATGCCCTCTGCAGAGCTTTGACAAGGGAGAAGCTAAAGAGGCTAACTGAAAAAGATGCCCTCCGATTACCCTGTAATGTGAGGATTGTCCTATCAGACCCCAACCAAAATTAGTTGCTGATAAAAGGACAGAGAAGATGACCCAACAAGAGCACTTTGAAAAGAAGCTGTTACAGGAGGCAGCATGACACCGGAGCAAGAAGTATTACTCCAGTAAGAAAGAAAGAGAGGGTTGGAATGTCAATGAGTTTTGGCTTTGCCTTTTGGGAGGTGCTACTCTTCCGTATGGGCAAAAACAGGGGTTTACAATATACGTTTCATTATTTTAGAAACCCCCTCCCCCACGATAGGAATTCAGCCAACTGACATTTAGAGCAAAAAAAGAGAGAAAATTATATGTAATTGAAGGCATTGTAAAACTGTAACTAAGCTACTGGGCATAAAAAGTGCTTCTGCCTCTTTGCAAAACATATACAATGCTGAAGAATGAACTGTAATTTTCAGGCCACACTGGCAACTATGGGAACAGAAGCACCTGACTGAGTATGGCGGAAGGCAGGTTTAACGCCTTGTCAGGAGTCACTACAGCCCAATTCATGCATTCAGCGGCCCGTGCGGGTCGTCGCTTGAAATGGGGCATGCGGGGGAGCTACCCTACTGTATCCAGCCCTTTGTGCGAACGCAGCTCCCCACGGGGCGCAGGCAATTCCGTCAGCCCTGCCGCAAAACGGCCTGGCCCGCTCTTGTCCACACACATGGAAATGCATTGACGCGGTTCTATTTCCAGCAGGAAAATCACCTGAGCGGCCATAACAGGATCTCTCTGTCTGTCTGTCTGTCTGTCTGTGTCTGTGTCTGTGTGTGTGTCTCTCTGTGTGTGTGTGTGTGTGTGTGTGTGTGTCGTTCAGCAGCACCCATACAACAAACACAGTCTTCAGCTCGTGAAAGTCCTTGCCTGTCCATTTCACGAAAGATGACAAGGAACCAAAGTAAGCGTGCAGGATGGGGCACAGTGGGTGTCACTGTACGCTGGAGAAGCATGGCCTGCTTTTCCCAATTCATACACTTCCTGTTTTAAAACATTCAGGCAGGAAGTACTTTTGCAGACACACCTTAAACTTAAATCAAATACTGACGGATGCAAGAAGGCGGGAGGATGATCTTTTTAATATTCTTCAGGGTTTGTTTGTTTTTTCATAGAAAGGGAGAATTCCCACAAGTAAACTAATAATAATCAGGTTAGTTTCAACTCATGGCGACCCCACTTAAAAGTATAAAGTTCTGAGAAGGGGTGGACCAATCCTGACTTCTGGTTAGAATCTGGGGCCATGCAGCCAGTTCAAGGCCACACAAGGGGCAGATGATGTCACGCTCCAGGGTGACTGGAGCCGACTCCTCTTCCCGGGGGCACAGTGAGACTATGAACTTTGGCGCCTGGCTCTGTAGCCATGCTCCTCAGACCCACCGAGCGGTTTCATCTCAAGGGGAAAACGTGCTCAGTCCGTCTTTGGGCTATAAAATGTTACTAAATTTCTCAGCAAACTTTCAATCACAAAGACTTGCAGCACTATATTAACAGTGCTATAATATTGTTAATATAAACTATAATACAGTGGTGCCCCGCTAGACGGTTACCCCGCTTGACAACGAATCTGCTGTACAATGAGTTTTTGCAATCGCTATAGTGATCGCAAAACGATAATTCAAAGGGGTTTTCCGCTTTACGACGATCGGTTCCCTGCTTCAGGAACTGATTTTTCGCTTAACAATGATTCAAAACAGCTGAGCGGCAGGGCGCGAAATGGCTCCCTGCTGTGTTCAGGACGGATTCTTCGCAAGACAGGTACCACAAAATGGCCATCATATGGAGGATTTTCGCTGCACGAGCAGGTATTCCCCCCATTGGAACGCGCTGGCTGGTTTTCAATGCATTTCAATTATTTATTTATTTATTTATTTATTTATTTTGCTTGATGATGATTTCGCTCTGCAGCGATATTGCTGGAACGGATTATCGTCGTCAAGCGGGGCACCACTGTATTATTAATATAGTCTCCCCATTTCAGCTGCAGGACCTTGCAAAGATATCCCAGTAAGAAGAATCAGCATGAATACCAAAATTAAAAACAAAGGCTCTTTTCAGTGCCATACGCAATAAATAAATAAATCTTATCAATACAAGCGGCTGGAATCCAAACAGCTATTTTAGACACATCCAATTCAGGGTATGAGTCCATGCTACATAAAAGATTGTACCTCCCTTTATGAGACTGCCTGGGTATTAAGATCATCAAGGGAGGCCTTTCTCTTGGTCCCACCCCCTTCTGACTTTGTTTCTTTCAAACAATCCCTTTCGTAATATAAAATCTGACTTTGAAAGTCCATTCCCTTACAAAGGCTGTTTGCCTTATTAACTAGAAACACAAAGAATGTGTTCTACAGTACAAGACAAGAAGACTCAGGATCCCTCTCAGGCAAGTGGAAATCAGCTGCACAGGTTTCTTTTCATTCTGAACTCTACCACCCTATGAAACACGTATTTTTACATGGTTCTGTACAGAAAAGAAACTTATCCCAAGGTTTCTAACAGCACAGAATCAGAAATCTGAAATTGATAAATGAGAAAACAAAGAAGAAATTCCTTTTAAAAAACTTAATGTACCTGGGACATTGGTAACATGGGAAATCAATTCCAATAAATATAATTAACAGTACCAACAGTCAAGAGGCATTTGCTTTTCACATTGTTATTTTTCACTAGGCCCCTTTAACTATTAATACGTGCCAACACTTCTTACATAGTTTAAAAACTTTGCACACCATTAAAATTGACATTTTGGGCTTCGTGAACATTTATAATTCCATTAACTGTTCCCTTAAAAAAAACCTATAACATTTGAAGCAGGGCGAATTAACATATGACACACAGATGTCTGTAAATCATCCCATTCATGATGAAAAACGTTCCAAACACACTCTCACACACAGAGTGCATGAAATTAAGAATGTGGTTTGTAATAAAGCCATCTAATTATGCTCTGAAACCATTCCACTGATGAGGTGCTGAGAAGGCTTACAGTGGAGAAATTAAAAGATAAATAGATGAGAGGTATGTGTCCATGTCTTTTCAAAGTAGATCTCTTTTGCCAGAAGTCTTCAACCGTCAGACCAACCTGATATTTAAACAAACCTCCAACCCAGCTCTGCCCTGTTCATAAAAAATGTATAAAACTTCAGAAGAATGTGTTATACAGAGAAGGCATGCTGCAGCAAGGAGGGCTGGGTTAAGGAAGGTGGGGTCTCTGGGTTGTTCTGCTTTACAGACGAAGTCAATTCCTTTACACTGCCATGTCTCTTAGCACATGCAGCAGAGTTTGCCACTCAGAAGATAAAAATATTTATGGTACAGTTAATTAGGTCACATCTATTTAGCTCCTGCGCCTTTTAGGAGGATTCTAAGCATCTTAATGCTAATCTAAGGAGACAATAGGAAAAAGGAAGCAGTGAAAGACAATAAATATGCTTAAGGGAGTGTATTCACATCAATGCTGACTGGCTGGAAAGGCAGCATAAAAAGTCTTTTATCTGAACGCACACACAAAAGGCAAGTTTTCAAAGGCATCTGTGTGGAAATTAATCTGACACTACCATCCCCACGATGAATAATTCGAAGATTTATTTTTTAAAAAAAATAATTCAATAATATTGCACAAATGGTTGACAATCCAAACCTCTTTGGTTTTCCTTCCACAATACAGAGGAAACAGTTCCACTGGGGAAAGAGACCCATAATCCACCTCCCGCCCCACAGAGATATCCAGCGCATGCACTCTTCCGCAAGATCTTTCTCGGCCACAGTACTCACTCTGTTAAAGCGTTTGGCTTGAAACAGATGCCCATTCACTCTGTACAGCTTCCTCCATCTTCTAGCTCCACGCCGGTAGATGGATTCTAAGAAAGAAATCAAAAAGGTGTAAAGTAAGAGCATCGTAAGTGCCACGCACACGTCGCACAGAGCAGGCTGCGACTTAATCTGGCTTCCTCGAACATCCAGGCATGGCAGAATGTTGCTGGCAAGGCGATCTGCTGTCAAAAAGCATCCGAAGGATATTTTTTCCCCGCTGACTCTCCCATTTCTCCATCTCTCTCTCCCGCCGCCCCCCACCTTTCCCCCCTCACATGATTACAATCTTGTTACAGTTCTCTGTCTGCTTGCAGCTTCAAGTGCAGGTGAGACGTGGAGAGAGATAAATGGGTTAAAGAAACAGCATCCCTCTCTAACCCTCATCTGTATTCGCCTTGCGGGGCCAGTGAACCACACCAACATCCACGATGCAAGTACACCGACGGAGCAGCAAACGATATAAATCTTTTCACTGTTATGGTTTCCATTCTCTCTCTTTTTTTTTTCAAAATCTGTATCCTAGATGATGATGTCACCAGGATTATTATTATTATTTTTTATTTTAGTCAAGAGGGAACCGTTCAACTGTGACATTTCTTACAGTAAGTACTTCTTCCTGTTATGCAGACAATAAAATTATTTTGACGAAGGCCTTTATGAGAAACACAAAATCCAGGACACGACGGAACCCTTAAGGACATCAACTACACTCAAAGAGATGGTGCTGTAAATTAGTTTTTCACATCACTTGAGTTTCTCGGATGAACCTGGATTGATCGTCATAACTTATCACCACAACAGTCGAGATGCGCGTCACTGTTGCTCCCATTTTCCCGAGAGAAAATAGAGTGTGGCAGGTGAGGATTTGCCAAAGGCCACCCAGAGCAAGAAAAAGCTACTCAGTGAACCATATTGCTTCTCACGCAGGAGGATTAAGTGGAAAGCTAAGCACAGGGCCAAAATGTGGCTTAAAAGGTGACTTCTCAAGGTGGAGAGAAGCCTCCACGTGTTCAAAAGGCTAAAATTCTCCTGCACCGTTGCACCGATGGGAGCAACATGGATTGGGTCCACAGCCCAAGACACTCCTGCTGATTCAGGTGGAGGAGCAAATGACATGGCACCCCACCTGTCCTCCTGCCCCACATCTAGGAGGCAAAAGCCCAGAAAAGACAGGCTAACCAAGCACACAAGGAAGACAATTCTGCAAACCACTCTCTCCACACCTTGCAGGAAAACAGCAAAAGTAAACAATTAAAAATGACTAACCATCTTCTGCTCTTTCATGACTCTCCCAAATTGGCTTCCAACCCATTCTGGCTACTAGTTGGGTCTGAATCTGGACCTCTGGCTTCTCGAAGCCCGGTTTACCACTCCAAATGCATTTTTAAACTTCACTTTACATCACTACCGGAGAAACCTTCATGTAAAAACAGAAACCTTCAATCTAAAAAATGCACAGAATCGAATTGCCCACTTCCGCTGGTAAAAGTCCAACTGAACTGATAACTCCCTTGACTGTAATATATTTGTGCCGTTCTTTGGGGATCCTCTTTGGAGATACTGGATGTTGAAGAGCAGGAAAATATTCTCTTTAGCCTTCTCAGGGAGCAAAGAACACAGATACCCAAAACCCAAGATTTCTTTTGCAGTGGGATCTGAATCACCGAAATCAGAGCAAAATAAACTTTAAAAAGAGTGCTGTGTGAACATTTGTCACATTAGACGCTGTGAGAACAGTAGAATTATTAGAGCATCTATTACTTTTACTTGAGAAACCAAAGTCAAAGTGAACTTTGGCATGGAAGATGGAGGTGTCATGGGTTTTATAGGTGGCTCCAGTGATCTCCAAAATCTACCTCATCTCAGAAGAATCCTCCAAGCACAGAATTACAGGGACTGAATATCCAGAGAATAAATTATTCTGTTCTACAATCGTCAGTCGGACAGACCTGCTGGACAGCTCAGAGGTTTAGGCCTCTGGCTGTGGAGCCAGAGGTTGGGAGTTCGATTTCTCCCTGGGCCTTCTTGACAAGGGCTGGACTCAATGATCCATAGGGTTCCTTCCAGCTCCACAGTTCCAAGGTAATTTTAAGAGGCATAAGATTTATAAGACAATGCACTAACAACAGCAGGGCTACAAACCATGGTTTGTCAGGGGCCTCCTTTAAGATGTAGTCCACACTGTCTTACTGCAATTGGACCACCATCATGCAAAGAATTGGGTGGAAAGGCATGCATTTGTATTTTCCCCCAGCAGCAGAGAAAAGCATGTCCCAAAGAGCTGTACTGAAGACCTTCCTGACACAGAACTGACAGCACTGAGCTCTGTGAGATGTCCTCAAGTGTGACAATAGATGCAGCTTTATTCTTGCCAGATAACATTAGCAGGAATGCAGACACCAAATTTATAACCTAAGGGTAAGAAGGAGCCTCCCAACATAGCACATCACTGTACTACTGTTTGTGAAAATCTGAGTGGGGTGGACCTTTGATGTATCATAGAAACAACTTGCATGCTTTTGCCACTGCGAGAATTTCTAAGGTATTTTTAATCATTTAATAATCTTAGAACTGCAGAGCTGGAAGGGACCCTCTGGCTCATCAAATCCAGCCTCTGTCAAGGAGTCCCAGTGGGGGAATTGAACTCCCAACCTCTGGTTCTGCAGCCCGAGACCTCAACCACTGAGCTCTCCTGCAGATCTTTTGTGGCTTCTCATCTTGCAAAATGACTCCCAATATGCAATCATTCAAGAACTGCTGACCAGAAGCAACTGTTGCGATCACCTTCTGGATGGCCTTCTGGGCTGAAAACACACAACGATCATGACTGAACTTTTGTGTCTGCTCATGAACAGAATGTTTAACTAAGGACAAGTAATTGGAATTTACAAGTAATTAAATTTATTTTTATTTATTTTTATTTATTTATTGTATTTATACCCCGCCTATCTAGTCATTATTTATTTCAAATGGTCCATTTGTTAGCTGGAACAGATGAATCAGCCAGCACCACAATAATCTCATGTTCAGTCTCACATGGTGAGCAGTGACAGCTGCTATGAAACCCAACAGATCACTTAGATCTTTGGGCAGAGAGATTCATTACACAACTTCTTCCAGAGCATCTCTTCTGGCCGAAGGGGGTGGTGTGGTGGATGGCGAGACATCTGCGAAGGTACAAGCTTTGACATCTTTGGGTTTACTCCCAGAACAAGGGTGGTGAGAAGACAAGAGTGTAACATACAGATCTTCTGCATTTCTTTTGTCTTACCTAGAAGACATGAAAAGGCTCAAGCGGAATACTTCTCAGGAGTAAGAAGGTCTTGAGCAGCTACAGCTGTTGTATAAGAAGAATTGGCAGCATCTAGATAAGAACACTGGCTATGATAGCCAAGGTTTCTGAAGTCAACGTGATTTCTCTGTGTGTTCTGGCTCCCAGCATTTCAAAAATTCCTGCTGGATCTGGCTCTCCTGGTTATCTCACCACCTTGACTGGATTAAGAATATTGGCCTTCACTCCTCCATACTTGATTCATAATCCAGTAACATCAGTTCTGCTGAAGACCTCTGTTCCTCTAACTCATTCGCTTGTCATCTTCTTATCTACTTTGTTTACACGTGCTCGACTCTGTCTACACTCTAATTTGGCTACTCCTGATTTGATCTGGCATGCCTATGTGGCTACACGATATGGCTACACAAGTCTTAAATTCTGCCCAGCACTTGCAATCTGGACAGCTCCGGCACATAGTCTTCTTGCATACAACTGGTGTGTCACAAAGTGACTGATATCTTTCAACTGCATGCCAGCTCCTGAAACTGAAACGTCAGTGACTGATACTGAGGAGAGCAGAATCTTAGCCCTTATGACTTTGTTTCCTGGTGCAGACACCATTGAAGCTGAAGCTCTTTTGAACTATGTCTGACTTCGCTTAGACAAGGCAAATTCACAGAAGAAACGTAACTACTCAAAAGTAAAATACTTTTGTGATAGAGTTCTTCAGCACAGATATTTTTGAGCTCAATGGACTTGGCAGAATTGTGAAGTTAGTTAAGAGGATGCTAATTCAAATAAAGGGCAGTAGCTGGCCACTTGTAGCACCATGCAGAATTAGAAACCTTTCGATTTTGTGGAAAACTACAGGCTGAACACTAAAAAGCTTGCCCACGCTAAATGCAATATTCAGAGCTGAAGTTCTGAGCTATTTTCTTAATTCATCTGCTTTGTAGTGAGTAATTTTATGTTGTACTTCCCCCCCCCTTAAATAATCTAACGTGTTTATCCATTAATTGAAAATGTCTGGCATAGCTCAGCTGCCAGATAGCTACCATCTCAGCATTAGCCCCTCATTTGCAACAGGTGAATACTGGATCTACCTATTGTAAGAACCACTGAACTAATGTATGCAGTGTGCTTTGTAACAATTAGAAAGAACAAGCCATCTTTAAGATAGGATGCTTGAGGGAATAGATCAGACACAAGGAGACAATCTAAACCAGTTCTGCAGAGGACTATCACGGTGCGAAGACTTTTGATCTGCTGACCTATGCAATGTTTGAAGTATAGATCACACAGTTCTCTGTTGTGCTTTCTGTCAAAGAATACATGCTAGGAAAAGAGTCAGTTCAAAGACTGTATGTGTGCATGCCCAGAAAAGATCTCTGGACTTTACTCAGATTATGGTCTGGCTCTCTTCTCCTTTATAAATAATTTCACCATGGCTGGTCTGGTACTGGCAGATCATTCCTCTAGCCTGGCTGGCTAAAATGAAATTAAATATAACATCTTAAACCATAAAATTAAGTTCTTGGTCATTTGCCATTTCCACCCAAAAATTCAGGATGCTCTAATGTGCAAACTAAAGACTGGCCAGGGAATCGACAGTATTCTGTATATTATTGCTTCCTTTGTACTTTTACAAAGCTCTCAAGCTTTTTAAAAACATTTTTATTAGGAATCTAATACTTTTTCAGTGTTTTTAAAATTTTATTTTAAGCACACATGCATTCAAATACTACGCTTCTGTTGCTACTGTCTGAAATATCA